CTTCCAGTCCTAGTATTCTATGATTCTATGATTCTATTTCGAACTAACACTAGTTATCTCGAAAATAACAGCGCCGTAGTTGTAGACACACCCATAAAGTCCCCAAAGTAATTCAGAGTCTCTTTGTCATAATACACCCATTTTGAAGATAGTCCATGCTGTAGAGATCTTCGCAGAGAAAGTCTGGCGGGGAGGGTAAGAGAAATGAAAGGACTTGTTGAAGATCATACAGCCAGGCAGTGGCAAAGAAGAAATAAAAGGTAAAAGTCCTGATTTCCAGGACAACACACTACTCATGGCTTCCTGGTGATTGTTCAGTGTAGGTTCGGTCTGAGGGGAATACACTTTGACCCACAATGCAGTGCATGTAGAGGAAGCTCAGACTCAGTTTCCCAAAGCTGTGCAAAAAGCCACAAAGCACACTTCTGCTATCTTGAGTAAGCTCATCTTGGGCCAATGGATGGGAGGAGGACTGCCCATGTAGATTCTGTGGACAGAAGCCATATGCATACTCTGCACTTTAATTACAGACCCTTTATCCTGATTGTGTGGTAGGCTAAATAGTTACTAAATAACTATAATTACAACCAAGGCAGGGAACTCCAGGAATCCTTTACCTGAGCATGTATCATACAGCATATAATAGCATATGATTGCTTGCTATGCTATCACACAAGACCTTGTTTTCCTTCTCCCCCTGTGCCTCCCTCCTGCCAGATAACATCCTTTCCCGATTTCATGCTTCCATTTCCATGCTCATTAACTCATGCTATTTAGTCCTTGTTTGACGTGGAACTGGGAAATGCTGTTATCTGCAGAACAGATTCCTTCCCTCTAATCAAATCTGCTCTCTGAAAATTGAGCATTATTACTGCATTGTTTCCAGCTCTGTTTAGTGTTCGACTCACTGTGCATTCAGGCTTGAAAACCTGTTCAGTTTCTGATATAAGCCGGGCTTCCTCTCCATGCTGGGGGAAAAAACGGTTCCTCTACTATATAATTTAGGGACTTTGTCTGTCAGTTTGATCAAGAACTTTGCCTGAACAGTAAGAACTAGGACCATGAAATTCGATATGCAGCTTTCTCTTATCCTAATGACCACTGGATCAGGCGCTAAATCCAAGTCTCTTCTGTAACAATGCCTTCCTATAGCTTGACTTTGCCAACATCCAAGTCCACGTTCATCCTTTAGAATGAAATATGCATGCAACATTAGCTCCCGCACTCTTTTTCTCCTCTCCCATAGGTATACGTCAGCAAATCAAGGAGAATTTCGTGCAACGAGGTTTACGGGATAGGTCGGCAAAGGCTTTGCTTGCCGACCAATCCCCGTCTTGACTGCCGGTTCTTGCCGACAAACAGTTGAGCCAGCACAACGCAGTGGCCATTTTTATTCTAATGAAGCTGGGGATATTTAAATCCCCGCTTCATTGACTATGTTGGTATGTCTAATTTACATACCTGTGACGACAGAGGCATGTAGTCTAGACATACCCCCAATGTAAATCCAGTGTGTGGAGGAGAAGAAACAGAGCCAAACACTGTTGCTTTAGGAATTGACTCTGAATTGGCACCTCAGAACAAATCGCATGTTCAGTAGTTTCCCATGTAGGAACAAGCGGTGATGTCTGCCTCCCATGCCTTGTTAGAAGGTAAAGACCTGGTCATTTCAGAATCATTAGTATGCAATACTTTCATCATTCGCATTAGGCAGATTTTTTTCCCTCCCTGGAATGAAAATCTCCAGTCTCTGTGTTTCTAGGTCTCCAGTCTCACATGCGGTCTCTCTTATTTTTTCATGCTAATTTATAATGAGTTTGATGCCCCAATTTCACTCCGGGACCTCTCCAATGAAGATACAGAAAGGCATCATTAAGATATGGGCTGCAGGGAATTATTAAAATATCTGTGATGCTCTGTAATCTGCCAAGGGCTTGTTTAAACTTCAGGGCTTGACTTGCAGGGCTGTTACTAGCAACAGTGTGTCATGCCTTTGGTTGGACACATAAAACACAGATTTACATCTTTATTGAGTATATTTCCCAGACCTGAGGAACTCTGGATAAGCTCGAAAGCTTGTTTCTCTCACAACCAGAAACTGGTCCATTAAAAAATATTATCCCTGGCACCTGGTCTCTGTGTATGTCTACATAAAAGAGAAGGAAGAATGACAGGATGCGAATCTTTTCTTTGTCTAATTGATGTAAACCAAAAGTATACTAGTGTGACGGTACAGTAAACTGCAGGGGGTTTTCGGAATCTATTGTGCACATACACATACACACCTTAGGTTAACATTTACTTGAAATCTATTTCATTAAGGTGTTGCTAAAGAGTATAAAATCACAGCTCTAAAAATCCTCCTTCTCCCCCATCCCATGGCTCCCATTGGGCATAGAGGCACCAGCTAAATAGTACTGGGTAAGGCCCCATAAAGCCTAAGGACAACCCTGAATTGTACTGTTCTGCACCCATCTGAATACATTAGCTTAATTACTTGTCATGGTTCACCCCAGAGGGCGGCCCACAAAGGAGAATCTCAAAAAATGCAGGATTTCGGGAACTGCTAACAAAGAAAGAATTAATGTCAAATTCAGTGGCGGCTTCTGCAATCTGAGCACCTGTCCATGAGGAAGTGGATTAGGACCTTCTGACTCAGTTCACAAAGGTCACCTCTCATTTGGATTGTTTTTAGCATTCAAGGCAGAAAAGCAAAATGTCTTCAACTCGGGTTGCAGTACCAAGGTAAATGGCTGTTATTTACCTTGGACCAAAAAACTTCCTTGAAGCAGTAACATGGCTTAGATTGTGCAACACACAGTGTGCATTGTGATAAGTGTTTTTATTTCCTTCTCCTTGTCAGGCTGTGACATTGATCCACATACCTGGGAAAGGTGCAAAAGCAAATCAAGGCTGTGCAAGTGATCCCTTGGGTTAGATTGGAAGGGAACGGAAGAGAATTCAGAGGAGTGCCATTTGGACAGGAATGAGAAAACAGGTGCTTCTAATGTCATGCAATTTGAATACTGAAGGCTGTCACAATAAGTCATTCCATAAATCCATTATTAACGACCAGCAGGAGAAATAAATCACATGATCAATCCATTATCTATAGTTCAAACAGAATTCTGTTTGGTAATAGAACTGCAGAGTGGGTGAGCTAAACACGGCCAGCATGCTGAGATGCGGTGAAGGAATTCAAAGCAGCTCCTATGAATGTGTATTCAGCTGCTGTTTTCTAACCCCAGTTTCCACTACACTTCACGCAGGACTACTTGAAATAGGAAGGTCAAAGTTGCACACCATCCCGAACTTGAATTTTTAAAAACAAATCTACACTTGTCCACTGTAAACAATTGTTCTCTGGTTTTGTAATAGTCTTTTGTGTTGTCACTAAAGATTCACACGCACACACACAGCCCACAAATGAAGAATAAACAGGACGTCCATGTAAATGTAGGATAGTTTAAAATTAAAGGTACTGGATTATGAAACAAAGTCTCAGAGGGGTATCTGTGTTAGTCCGGTGGCGCCTTAGAGACTAACAAAAATATGTCCAGGAGCCTTAGCTTTTGTGTGTAAAACCCACTTCATCTGAAACACCCACAGTTGCCCACAGCGGACAGTATGTGATTGTGCTGGTGGTGCACATCCACACACGCCTCAATATACATAACAAAATTTATTCTGCACATGGATGTACAAAATTAGGGCAAATGTTGATGAACAGCCCTTCATTCTTGAGTGTGCAGCCGCCTGGGTGTACACTTTAGATGTATGGGTCCTTGGAAGTTCAGGGGGTTCTGCAAGCAACCCCTGACTTGAAGTGGTTTCCATTATACACAGGGCTTACAGTTTGGTTCAATGGCTCTCAGCACCCTCCACTATACAAACTGTTCCAGCACCACGGTGTAGAGGGAACTCTCTGAGGACAACCTGAATGGAGCTCACGGACCATAGTTTGAGAACCTCTGGCCTAGCAGATTCTTTTAAACCCCCATAGATAGAAAGCACCCCTCAGTGGTCAGGTAGTTCACTTTCTGATACCCACTGTGGCAAAACTCTGCCCAGGCCGGTGGGTCTTATGCTTCTGACGGACGGTATTTGCTTCAGAGGGTATGTCTAGACTGCATCCTTCTGTCGGCAGAGGGATGCAGATAGACACGTCGACATTGCAAATGAAGCTGGGATTTAAATATCCCGCGCTTAATTTGCATAAAAAATGGCCGCTGATTTTGCACACTCAGCACTTTGTTGGCAAAAAGTGGCAGTCTCGAGGGGGATCTGTCGAGAAAGAAAGCCTTTTTTGACAGATCCTGTAAACCTCCTTGCCCCTCCACACGGAAGCTTCTTCCCTGGGCCACTTCCCCAAATGATCCCTTCTCTGGTACCTAAGCCAATCAGTCCTGCTCCTCCCCTGCACTCTGCCTTGCTCGCACTCCTCAGCTCTCATACGCCCTTCACCTTCCCGCTCTCAGGCCTTGGGCTCTTCACCCTCCCTGCAGGGAGACCTTGTGAACATGGCCCAGCAGGCCTTCCCAGGCTGCCGGAGCTCTGATTAGCCTGCTGCTTCTGGCAAGCCCTCAATTGGCCCCAGATGCCTGCCTGATTGTGCTGCCCTACGCTCAGCCCTGGTTACTCAGGGAAGAGAAAACTGTTCACCAAAGCCCAGGGTACTTTCCCTCCATTAGTGTGCGACACCCAGCTGCTCTGGGTTGTTTCACAGGCTCTGTGAGCTGCTGAGGGCCAGCAAGGGATACAGAATCCACTGATAACTTGTGGAGCATGGTCTTGTAATCAGGGACAGGTCTCTACCCGTTTGCTCCCTTTGTGTCTTTATCCTTTGATTCAGAATGTCCATACTGAAATGAGTGCACACGAGCACCCTATAAACTGGAACCAGCCCCCCTCAGAAACTATCTGTAGTGCCTCCATGGAACTGGGTCCAGAGTCCTAGAACCTTCACCCGGCACCTCCAGCTCACCTAGAAATCTGTAGCAGTGTCTCCTGATTTCCATCTCGCGCACTCTGCTCTTGGGGACCTGACATCCAGCTGCGGTTACTGGTAAGATCACAAAGAAAGGGCCAGAGGGCACTTTTGCAATAAATCCCAGGGTAGTTTTGGAATGAGCCCTGAATTTTCATCCATTAATTCCATGTTACTCTTGGTGATAAAATCCCTGCTAATGTTGTAGGATCATTTTTGTAGTGTTTAGTGCCATAGTTGTCAATGGGAAATTTTAGAAACATTGGCTTTGAAATATGTTGTATTTGGTAACATTCCAGTGCCTTGTTTGCTTTTCCTTTATTGTGTTTGGTTAGAGAGCCAGACAGAGTTACTTTAAAAAAAAAAACACCTACCCTCATAATCCCTTTTAGTCATCCCGTTTGTATATTGGAAGCATTGTTCTCTGCAGATGTACTGTTTTTAGTTATTATTCTATAGCTGGGTCCACTTTATTGGTGCATTCCAGAGCTTCAAATGGATACCAGTAATTGGAAAATCAGTCTTCTTTTTCAACAACCAACTCGGTGCTTTGTCCTTTTGCCAATTTCTTTTGGACTTTTTTTTATTTTTATCTCAAATTTCAAATGGCATTTCAAGTCCACTCTAACTTTCTTTACTTATTCCAAAGGAGAACTGGAGAAAATGAAAGCACCCAACCTACAAACAAGAGTAAAGAGGCTAAAGGTCTGTGCAGAAGAAAAATGGAAATAAACGCTCAGAGCAAAGGAGGATGGTTTGATCTATTTCAAAGGTAATGCATACTATAAATTCACATAATGAATATAAATTCATCTAACAAAGAGAAATAATAGATTTCCTTACGCAATGTTAAATATGTAGTGAGTAATGTAATTAATATGGCATTAAAATAATATTTTTGTTTTCTCTACAGGTTTATACCATGGCCAGCACCAGAGTAAATTGAACAAAATGACTTGGATCTGTTACCCGTCAAAAGCTGATTAATGTTAATAGACAGTAAATAACAAACTCTGATGTTCAATTACTTTTGGCACCACTGCTTTGTGCAAAGCTTGGAGAATAGTTCCCTCTTACAACCTTTCAGTTGTATAACTGGCTGTGCCACAGGAGAACTGATATTCATCTTATTTTATACTCATGTATGTCCTCTCAAATGGCCTTTTACTAGTGAGTCCATAAAGTATGCTTTAGGCATCGTACTTTCATATTCTGGCAGAAAGCAGGATGTATCTTTTCTTATTTAATTCTTGCAACTTACACTTTACCACGCTTTCTTGAATCATTTTCATGTCATTGTTTGGTGATTTGAGCTTCTCTATAGCAAGCACTCAGTTTTATGGTCTTAAAGTTTCTTTCTCCTTCCTCTCGGTCCAAAAGAAAGTCTATTTTATAGCAAAATAATAGGCTAACTAGGATGCCAAATGGAAATGACCTACGTTTCTGCCTGTTGGCAAATAGAAATTATCAATAGAACAGATTATTTGAATATAAATGTTGATTTCATGTTGATATGCAACCCTGGATATAAAATGCACGTTAACCAAGGTGACTACTTGATTTTATGTACAGCAGTTACACATATCTTAGAAAATGGTTTTTTTCTGGGTCCCCCACTACAGGAGGGATGTGGACATATTGGAGAGGGTCCAGAGGAGGGCAATCAAAATGATTAGGGGGCTGGAACACATGAACTATAAGGAGAGGCTGAGGGACTTGGGTTTGTTTAGTCTGCAGAAGAAAAGAGTGAGGGGGGATTTGAGAGCAGCCTTCAGCTTTGAGAGGTTCCAAAGAGGCTGGAGAAAGGCTGTTCACAGTAGTGACAGATGGCAGAACAAGGAGCAATGGTCTCAAGTTACAATGAGGGAGGTCTAGGTTGGATATTAGGAAAAGCTATTTCCCTAGGAGGATGGCGAAGTACTGGAATGGGTTACCTAGGGAGGTGGTGGAATCTCCTAGAGGGTTTTAAGTCTCAGCTTGAAAAATCCCTGGCTGAATTGATTTAGTTGAGATTGGTCCTGCCTTGGGCAGGGGGCTAGACTTGATGACGTCCTGAGGTCTCTTCCAGCTCTATGATTCTAAATGCGTTACTTTTATATATTTGGGTTCCTAATGCACTTTCTGTTTTATTAACAAGTATTTCAGTAAGTACCAAGGAAAAATTGTGAATCTACAAAGACCTTAAACACACAAGCACAATCCCATTGATTTGAATCAGGAACTAGAAGGCTACCTCAGTTCTTGCTGTTATTCTTCATGTCAACATTTGGAATAAATGAGCTACAGGCTCATAGCTCACTCTAATAAATCACAATTTCCTACTGGAAGTGCAAAGATGTAACCTGAAGGGTAGGCGTGTGTTTGCATTTTCCACTCACCCCTACCCCTTCCTCAAATCTATTCAAAGTTAAGGTTGAAAAAAATACCATTTACTACAGGTAACAACACCTAACTTCGTATTTTTAAAGCTTTCTATCTCTCACACATTGCTAAAAAGCAAAGAAACAAAATTAAATGTTCTGGATGCTGGCAATTACTCTGCCCCCTTCACAACTTTCATTCACCTACTCTGCTTAAATGATCACACCAACCAAACCGTACCACATATTCAGTTTTAACTTTGCTCCCTTTGTGTCAAAACAGTTAGGGTGAATCTACACTGCAACCTTAACTTGAAACAATCTACGCAATTTGAGCTATGCCATTTGCGTAGCTTGTTTCGAGTTAATTTCAAAATAGCTTATTTCGTATTTCGAAATAAACCACTATTCTGAAACGTTCCTTAATCCTCATGGAACGAGGTTTACCGGGACGTAGGAATAGCGCACCCATTATTTTGAAAGATATTTTGAAATAACGGGTGTGCTGTCAAGACCTAGAATAGCTATTTCAGGATAGCAGAAGTATCCCAAAATAGTGCCGCAGTGTAGATGTATCCCTAGAGTATTTTTGGTAGTTGTGTATATTGATGTAATTGGTAATGCAGGTTGAACCTCTCTAATCTGTTCCCTGGGGACCTGACTGGTACTGAACCAGAGAATTTGTCAGACGACGGGTGGTTAATATTGCGTAGCAGTGTTACCAACAATTCTACTGTTTACTCAGCTCTTAGAAGACATTTGAGGGTCAATTAGTGCTAAATGACAGCACAGACCACTGAGAACCAGAGCTGGTGGCTGTAAACAAACTTTATGGGACCACGGGAAACTTGGCCACACCCATAAGTGGATATCTGGCTAACTAAAATCATGCCGGACCACGGATGTTCCCAGACCAGAAAGTGCCAGACTAGAGAGGCTTCACCTGTAGAGGCATTTTAATAGGTTTTTATGCTTATCGAATTAAGTTGACGGTGGAAGATGATGATGCGGCTATTTTATATAGGTGTTTTTCTGTGAGGGGTTAGTATTTCTGTCGAGGTGCAGTACAGTGATGGTGACTGGGGGGGTTGGTTTAGTGTAAATTTGTTGACAAGTTTTTGTAGAAGTACATTATTAAGTGTTCTTAGAAGGCAATGTTGAGGTTTTCTGTTGGGTGCAGCTTTATTGGTGTGAAGGTTAATTTAGCGGAGGTATTTGAAATCATTTAGATTTGAATTTTAAGT